GAAGTGCACACTCGGTGTGCACTTCCTGTTAGTCCGGCCGGGTACAGGAGACAGCTGCTCTCTGTACCCGTCGGACCAGCATGCTGCAGGGCTTGGCCACACTACAGCAAAGGAAGGCCCCTTTCTCAGGCTGCGCCCGGGTGGTGCGGTCCGCCCTCATGGACGCACCGCCCGGGCAAAGCTGCAGCCGCCTGAGGCTCTCTACAGAGAGCTCGGGCGGCTGCAGCATGGGGGGGGCAGCGGGGCTGGTCATGGCACCCCCCACCCTGGTGGTACCCGGGGCGGACCGCCCCCTCCGCCCCCCCCTTTGTACGCCACTGCCTAAAAGGTAGATAAAGAAAGTTTAATGCATGATTAACTGAGTATTGCAGACATAACAAATCTTACAAACAGAATATATTTAAATTTGATAACTGAATATTTATGTATGTTTGTGCCTATTTCTTTTTGTAATGTATTTTGGTTTAACCTGTGAGTATAGTGAGTGTATGCAGCTGTGTAAGTGCTTGGAAGGGTTAAAGATCGTTTTAGAAATAGTTAGGGTAAATGGGGGTGAAAGTTAAACTGGTCAACTTATCTGAAACGGAGATGGGTCGGGAAGGGTAAGGGCAGGGCCGGATTAACATAGGGGTTGATGGAGCAGCAGCTCCAGGCCCATGACCATGGAATAGGCCCATTTTAAAAAAATATATATATATTTTCTGTAACTTTTTTTTTTTTTTACACACTACTCTTAGGTTTACCACCTGACTGGTAATTTACTGGCACAGTTGGTATTTAAGGCTGCCTGGCCATGCCGGTATTGCAGTAATACCGGCAATACAAATGCATATATTTTTCTCGGTATAAACTGAGATTACTTTGCAATACCAGCACCGGCCAGTAGGGGTCACTGTGTGTGGAAAGAGGCAGGGATAGGAAGTTACAGCATACAGCATCTCTCTACTCACTGATCCGCGGGGGATGCAGCTACACAGCACAGAGAGTTCAGACAGCAGCTCTCAGCCTGCAAATACAGACTACGGCTCAGGGAAGTGATGGTTGAGGGGAAAGGCAGCAGGGAAACATGGGGACACTGAGACAATAGGGGACACATGGGACACTAAGACACAAGGGGACACTGGGAGACCTGGGGACACTGAGAACTAGAGGACACTATGACACATGGGGATGCTGAGACACATGGGGACGCCGTGAGACATGGGAACATTGTGAGACAGTGAGACATTGGGACAGTGTCCCCATGTCTCCCAGTGTCCCCATGTTTCCCAGATGGTGTCTCAGTGTCCCCTAGTCTCCCAGTGTCTTTGTCCCGATGTCTCTCAGTGTCCCTAGTCTCCCAGTGTCCCCATGTCTCCCAGTGTCCCCATGTCTCCCAGTGTCCCCATGTCTCCCAGCCAGTGTCCCAGTGCCCCTATGTCTCTTAGCCAGTGTCCCAAGTGTCTCAGTGTTCCCATGTCTCCCAGTTTCCCCTAGTCTCCCAGTGTCTGTGTCCCCATGTCTGTCAGTGTCCTTAGTGTCCCCATGTCTCTTGGTGTCCTCATGTCTATGTCCACAAGTGCCCCCATGTCTCCCAGTGTCCCCAAGTTTCTCAGTGTCCCCATGTCTCCTAGCCAGTGTCCCTAGTGTCCCCATGTCTCCCAGTGTCCCATGTCTCCCAGTGTCTGTGTTCCCATGTCTCTCAGTGTCCCTAGTGTCTTAGTGTCCCCAAATGTCTCAGTGTCCCCATGTCTCCCATTGTCCCCATGTCTCCCAGTGTCTGTGTCTCCATGTCTCTGTGTCCCTAGTGTATCAGTGTCCTCATTTTCCCAGTGTCCCCAAATGTCTCAGTGTCCCCATGTCTCCCAGTGTCTCCATATCTCCCAGTGTCCCCATGTCTGTACCCACAAGTGCCCCCATTTCTCTCAGTGTCTTAGTGTCCCCAGGTCTCACTGTGTCCCCATGTCTCTCGGTGATCCCTAGTCTCCCAGTGTCTGTTTTCCCATGTCTGTTAGTGTCCTTAGTGTCCTCATGTCTCACTGTGTCCCTATGTCTCTCAGTGTCCCCTAGTATCCTGGTGACATGGGGACACACTGGGAATAATGGGTGTAGCGGAGGCCTGGTATTCCCCAGGTTAACTCCACTAGAGATCCCAGTGAGGCTCAGGAACAAGTAGTAAAAATACCATAAAGTAATAATTCCAGCAAGCAAGGTAATCCACGAATATCCCCATACAGATCCCAATGACTGGACGACACACAGCATCAGGAGCAGAACTGACTTGTAATTCACACACTTTCCTTATAAAGCCTTCTCCCCTGCAAGGGAGGGATTTGCAATAATTATTACAGTAGCCAATCACCCACGAGTTGCCACCCACACATCTCCTCCCCTTAGTGTGACACAATCCCATTATACAGGACACAAATTCCCTTAGTTTCTGGATGTACCCCTAAACAAAGGGGTACCTCTTTAAATGTTACATCCCCTGGTAGCCCTGGTCTGGGTGAGACACATATCCAAAAATCACCCAGATCGGACCAGAGGTTCTGGAAATTTATGGAAGTACTAAAAAGACCAACCGCGTTGAGTTTAACAGCCGAAAAGGGTTCCATGTGTTTTGGCCCTGCAGTCGGTCACAGAAAAGGGAATGTAACACACGAATGGCTTATGTTAGGAGAGCTGGGGAGGTTTTGTGGTAATTTCCCTTGTTCGTGGGGTTCAAACTACCAAACGGGAACCCGTTCGGTAGTTTGTATATGAATTGGCGGCAGTGTGGAGGTCTCAGCACTGTTTGCCTAACCGAGTGTCTGATTTGGGTTCCAGACACTCAACGGCAAAACACCGCTGTTCAGGAGTTTAAAATGGCCGCCATTCGTTTCCCGAATGGCAGCCACCCAGAGAACAAAGAACCCACTACACAAACCGCCAATTTACTGTTTGCAACATTGTTGCGAACAGTAATTGGAGGCGCACTTACTACTGGGGTGGTCTGATTGTTCGGTAGTTTAATTCGCATAATAACTGGAGTGATTTTACCGAACAATCGAATGCTACATACACTTCACATATACAGGTTACAATTCAATCGAACACATAAACATAAATGCACTTTTTAGGACAGCCCAATGCCATCCGCTACAATGGGGACACTGAGACACTGGGAGACTAGGGGACTGGCCGACATGGGGACACTGACACTGTGGTACATAGGGACACTGAGACACTGGGTGACTTGGGAGACTGAGACACCTGGAGACAGGGAGAAACTGGGAGCAGAATCAAACTGTAAGTAGTTTGTTAGTGATTTTACAGAATTTTCTCTTATGTCACTCCTTGTGATTTACATCATGTGATGTCACGCATACATAATTATGTATACAAATTATTAAGGATGATATTTTTTTTTACAAGAAATGTGGTAACCCTGACTACTCTTTACATACTCTTGTTCAAAAGAACTCTATAGGGTCAGGAACACAATCATGTGTTTCTAACCCTATTATGTTAAAACCACTATCTAGCCACCCTGGCCCCGTTTGCCTCCCTAAATATAGTAAAATCGTACTTGTATTCAAGACTGCAGCTGCTGACTCTGCCCCTGTCTGCCTCTAAACTGACTCTGACTGCTGACATCATCAGAAGTGATGCTTCCCCATAGGATTGGCTGAGACTGTCAAGGAGGCAGATCAGGGGCAGAGCCAGCACAAGTAAAACATAGCCCTGGTCAATCAGTATCTCCTCATAGAGATTAATTAATTGAATTAATAATTGAATCAATGCATCTCTATGAGGAAAG